TTGAGTTGGAGCTGACTTGATGGAAACTGGTTAAGAAGGGTGGCAAATAGTGAGAGGGACAAAAATTTGATGTGTCCTCTATCTATATTTTTCATACTTCAGCACAATATATTCCTTATCAAACATACACTTACCATCACCCCTGCATTCCTGCCACCACTCAATACCAGAAAAGATCCAGAATTGTCCATCCAGAAAGTCAGATTATGGCTAAATCCAAATAAAAACTTTTTTTTAATTTTAATACCTGCTACACAGAGATCATCCCATAGAATATTAACCATCACCTCTTCCTCTCTGCATCTTCTCGTGTCTTTTATTCCTTCTTCTAGCCAGTGTTTCTCAGTGTGGCTTAGGGACCAGTGGTCCTGGGAAATCTACCAAGTGTTCTGCAGACAGTTTGAGGAGAAAGTGATAAAAGTTTTGATCACACACATTTCAAAAATTTAAAGATTAATTATGACTTAAAAAATTCTTTTAGGATCTGAAAATGGTATTGTTTGTTTCAAGCTAATATCCTACTTTCACTTCAGGTGAATTGCTTACATTGGTTAAATACATATTTTGTTGTTACTATCATATTGTGTTTGTTAAGACACAAATTTAGGAAAAAGAATGGTTCACAAGAATAAATAGTAAAAGTGAGAAAAACATTTACCTTAGAATGCCATAAATAAAAAATTATCTTAGAATGAAAATAGTGTGATCTTAGAATGGACGGACCAGTGAATTTGGATTGATTAGTCTGCATTGTTGTTGATGTTGTTAAGTGCCATCGAGTCGGATCTGACCCATAGCGACCCTGTACAGGGTTTCTGAAGAGCGATTGGTGAGCTTGAACCGCCGACCTTGCAGTTCAAACGGCTTTGCAGTCTGGCGCATTAACCCACAGAGCCACACCAGGACTCCTAGTCTGCATTAGGAGACCCTTTATTCTCACTTTGCTGGGTCTTATGAACAGAATGAAACAACAAGAAGCCACTGAAACTTTTGCATCATTTTCAACTGTTCTGAAAAACCAATCAAAGCCTCCACTATGAATTTTGTCCTTGTAAACAAAGATCAAAGCTATATTCACATGGCCTTTAGTCACCTTTTAGGTCTGGAACTGAATTCACCCACATAGTTCAATTTTCAGCCAAATATTATATAGGTCTATAAGGGGAATAGCACACTAGAGAGGTATGCACATCTTACAATTATCAATTATTTGAGATAAAAAAGGCAGCATTAATACTGTTAACCAATGGTGCATGGAGGGGATTGTAATCATTGCAGTGAAACAAAACACTATTGGTTAAGTGCAAAACTGATGTTCTGCCATGTAAACTATCATTCAATTCACAATAAGAGCTTTAAAACAAAACAGCACTTAGCCAAGTACAAAGTTTAGAGGGTTAGAAAAGGAGGAGGAAAGGAAACAAGAAACACAGGGAGGAAAGGGGATAACTGGTAACTGGTATTACACGAAGGGGACTGTAATCAGTGAGATGAAACAAAATGTATATGAACTGTGGAATGTAAAACCCATGATTTGTTCTGTAAACCTTCACTCAATTCCAAGAAAAAGTAAACAAACAAACAAAAACTCAACTATATTCAAAGGAACTTCTTTTAAGAAAGGTGTAACTACTGTCACCTAAAAAATTAATGACAAATAAGCTAAGGGAGCAATAAAATAATGTACTGGCATATTCCATCATTATATAATACTATTAGATAGTAATGTAATATGCATGGTTTACAATGAGATAGATGATTATCACAGATAATTTTGTTTTATGGCTAGATGAATAAACTAGTATGAAGAATATGAATCAATTCTTACCAAATATATATTTAATATATAAATCAAGAAATATGAGGAAACTTAAAAAAGTTCATGGAAAAAAAAATCCACAATCTTAATTCCATTTTCCCCGCCTTATGGCTTGAAGTGAATTTCTATAATATATAACTAGAATTCTGCTCAACTATCCAGGCAGATGGAGTTCTGGTGTGGCACTGTAGAACAGGCACTATGACTGCTAACCACAAAGTTGGTAGTTCAAGTCCACCAGCCACTCCTTGGAAACCACACAAAGGGTCACTATGAGTCAGAACCAACTTGACAGCACCTAACAACATATAATATTCTTTTAACCAGGCAAATAACATTAGTAACATTTGTATGTGTAGGTGCTTCTGGTACATTATATTCTGAAATCAGAAGTCATATAAACATTGCAAGAGTTAGCTGTGGTCACAAATTATATCATAATTCATCTAATTTTGGGTTGTTGTTGTTGTTAAGCACTGTCAAGTCAGTTCTGACTCATAGAGACCCTGTACAGGGCCTTCTGAGGAGCAGCTGGTGAGCTCAAACTGCTGACCTTGATAATTCCATTATTTTAATAAACTTTTGAAGCACACTCATTATACGTGACTTTTAATTCACAGACAAGAGCTGGCATTTGACAGCTGTGTCCTCTTTAGTGTTAAAGAAAACAATGAAAATCTGAATAAAAGTTAAAACTACAGTCCCTGAACAGGTCCCTTCAGCATGTATTATCAAGAAAGAAGAAACCAATATAAGACTATTTTACTATCCTGTCATGAGGAAAGATGGTAACAAAAATTTTGCAAATGAAGGATGACAAACTTTTTCCCATAATACTGATAATATCAATAAAACATTTCTATGATTCCACCTACTGGTATGGTGCTATGGGTTACTGTGCTGGATAGCAAAGTCAGTTTGAACCGCAAGGTCAACAGTTTAAACTTACCAGTCACTCCTTGCAAACCCTATACAAGGTCACTATAAGTTGGAAACGACTTGATGGCACTTAAAAATAACAACAACAAATGATTCCATGTGGATAACTCAACTGCCATACTCCATAACACATACAGTAAACAGCTTGAACCTATTATTTGAGGATGAACTATCACAATTCTTAGGGATAAAACATGAAACAAATGGTTTAAACAATGAGAGTTTAACTTTTGCCTGGTTATATTAAGAAATCTGTATCTTGAGTATACTTACAAAGCATATTCAATTACGGCACTAAATCTGAAAACATTTTCTAAAACTAAATATAACCAACGGGGAGATCACAATTCTACTTACCGCCATCTCTCAAAATGAAATGTTCAAGTTTACTGTTGAGTGACATGCATTTTTCAGTCACTGATGAACACTGTATGTAATTTTCATTAAGATCTTACAGTAATATTTGTGTCCATCTTTAATTTGAATTTCTAAAATACCTAGCAGAATTACTATACACTTGCTACTATTCCTAACAACCTGTAATTAAAGATGGTATTACTTAATTTAGTAGAACTAAAAAGTAGGAAAATAAACCTTAACTTTAACATCAGTAAGCCAGATATAAATGTCGTCAAAGAACATAGCAATAATTGCTTTCCCTGATGTTCAGAGCACTTTACAATGTTGCTATGATATGACAATTAAAAAAAATTTGTATTATTCCTTTGTGTTTATTTTATCTAAAATCATAGTGTATATGCATACACACCATGTGGTATACATATTCCAAATGTTTGGAAAACACTACTTTCAGGTATCAATTCTTCCTATCCATTATTGCTAGGAGATACAATTGTAGAGAAATACAGTTTGGTTTATCCTTATTAATCTTCTTGCATTAGAAAAGCACTACATTGTCTGCATTTATACTGCCTAGTTTTGAAAAGCAACATCATGGATCTGATTTCAATATGTCCCCAAATCAAATAAACCCACTGCTACCTATCTGATTTTCATAGCAATTCTTAAATCCATAAGGCTTCCAAGGCTATAAATCTTTACAGAAGCTGACTGCCACATCTTTCTCCTGTAGAGTGGTTGGTGGGTCTGATTCATCTACTTTTGATTAGGAGTTGAACACTTTCACCACCAGGGTTCCTTAATATATAAGTTGCTGTTGTTGTTAAGTGCCACTGAATCAATTCCAACTCACAGTGACCTTGATACAGGGTTTTCAAGGAGCAGCTGGTGGGTTTGAGTTGCTGCCTTGAGGTTAGCAGTGCATTGCTTATCCTCAGGTCTCCTTAATATGTATGGCAGTGGTGGTGGTTGTGTGCTACTTAGTTCTGACTCATACTGACAACATATAGGGTTTCCAGGGCTATAAATCTTTATGGGAGCAGAAAGCCTCATCTTTCTTCCAAAGAGTGACCAGTAGATTCGAACTACTGACCTTTCAGTCAGCAGCCCAGCTTGTAATCCACTACACTACCAGGACTCATTCCTTAATATGTATGTTACTGTTGTTAAGTGCTGTCGAGTCAATTCCGACCCATAGCAACCCTGTACAGGGTTTCTGAGAAGCAGCTGGAGAGCTTAAATCATCCACCTTGCAGTTCAAACGGCTTTGCAGTCTGGTGCATTAACTCACAGAGCCACACTAGGGCTCCAAAATAATGCATCTAATAATATTATTTCGAAATTCTCCTCAAACTTCAAAACCCCACTCCCTACAAACGTATTCTTTCCTTCTGACCTTCCTAGAACCTTACACCTCTTGCTTATAACCAGAATGCGTAGCAACTGATATGGCACAGATACCACAGAGAACCGACACCAGCCCAGAATAACATGGTTACGATGGAGCACGCAAAGGAGATATTTATCATTGTTAAGTGCACCATTGAGTTGGTTCTGACTTACAGCAACTTTGTATAGGGTTTCCAAGGAGCAGCAGGTAGGTTTGAACCACCGACTTTGAGGTTCATAGTCCAATACTTATCCTACAGTGCCATATCAGGACTCCAATCAAGAAAATATTAGAGCTTCCTTTACATAGACAAATGGATGAAATTTAGGATATATAAAGGATATTATAAATTATTAGCAAAGCAAACAAATACTTGATTTTTAGAGATGAATAGAAAAGGAATACAGAAAATTCATTTAAAAATAAACTTGAGATCTTAAGAGTTATGTAATAACACCAATATATTTGTTCTGTTTATTAAGATCTTCTTACCCAACTTAGGAAAAACTATTAAGTATTCAGCATTGCACTGAGGACATGCCACTCTGGCTGTACTGTTTCCTCTTTGTTTTTCATCCACCCAGCGCTGTAGACAGGCCTGGTGAACCCACTTTGTAGATCCTCTGCACCTGCATGGTCTCACCCATTCAGCTGTTCTATCATCTTCATCAGTGGCAAAACACACCCAGCAACTTCTGTAAATTAAAAGAGAAAATTATGTTTATCTTTAGGACCTTGCCACTGCAGCTCATTCACAGCAACCCTTCTTTAATGGGGTTCATGTTGTATATGTAAGCTCTCATCCCCACACCCCTAATTAAATTATCAGGAAAAAGTCTATTTTAATCCGAAGAATCATCTTTATAACAAGTATAGTCAATGAAGACACATATTCAATAGATATATTTTTATTTTATAACTACAGTATTTAAATATACAGAGTTTCTTGTAACGTTTCCAACAGAAGACCAAATTATTTTAATGGATCTTTTTTTGGTGTGTTTTACTGCTCAGTACACTCATTATTAGATTATTCTAAATTGGCTGTGTTGGGGCACAAGATAAACCTGATAAAATCAGATCTTGAGACGGAGTCACCAAAGGTCTACGACAAGTGCAGCAGAAGACTTTAATGCTGGGATATTGAAAGGAATTAAGAGTGAGTCTCTGGTAGTGTAGTGGTTACGAATCGGGCTGTGAACCGCAAGGTCAGCAGTTCGAAACTACCAGCTGCTCCGCAGGAGAAAGATGAGGCATTCTGCTCCCGTAAAGATTAATAGCCTCGGAAACCCTGTGCAGGGTCTCTATGAGTCGGAACTGACTCCACGGCACACAACAACAACAATAAGAGTGAGTCACAACATGGAGGAAAGATGACCCACAAGGTATGAAGCAGATCAAGACTGAATTCTGAGGAAAGTTCTGAAAACAGGCAGAACTGGAAACTGTGGCTTAAAACTAAAATAAATGAAATTACTTCTAGCCAAGAGCTGTACTGTCTAATCTGGTAGTCACCAATCATATGTGGCAACTAAAATTTAAATTAAAAGTTTCCCATGAGCCACAGTTTAAGAATTCAGCAGTCACAGTGGCTGGTGGCTACTATGTTAGAGAACACAGAGACAGAATATTTCCACCACTGAAAAAAGTTCTATTGGACAGTACTGTACGAGAGTAATGAGGGGCTGGAAGGATAACAAGCATTTACAATCTACATATAAAATGAGAACAGAGCTTCAAGAAAGAACTATAGAATAGGACTGTAATTAGAGGGAGAAAGAAACTGAATATAATGAAGGAATCTGAGAAAGGTAAAAAGTAAAAAATTGTTTCCACAACTCACCCTGTGATTTACACTATTAACATTTATATTGTAAGTGCTCTGGCTGTTATTTATTTTTTTAAACAAATTGGCAAATGAATTAATTTACCACCACAGCTGACCATTGAGAAAGTATGAGAAAACAAATAAATCTTCTATCTTAGCAACTGAAATAATTTTTTAAATGTAATTGTATACCTTTGGAAAATTAGAAAGATCATTTATCAACAAAAAAGTATAAGCAGAACATCAAGAAACTTTCCAGGTTCTCATGTTTTTCCACTTCAATAAAACATATATAAGATGGAGACAGCCAAAGTGCCCATCAACTGGAGAACGGATAAACAAATTGTGGTACATACACACAATGGAATATTATGCTACCTTGAAGAATAACAAGGAAGCGGCAAGCCACCACCTAACATGGATGAACCTTGAGGACATTATGTTGAATGAAATAAGTCAGTCACAAAAAGAGAAATACTGCATAGGACCACTACTGTAAAAGACTAAGAAAAAGAA